CTGTAGCCATTGCAAACTTTTGCTGTCTAAGTCCCTGGAAAGGTCTTATTTCCCTACCCTGGGCAGGTGGAGGGAGGCTTTTCCCCAGAAGGCAGTTTCCTGTCATCCTCCGCCATGGTGTAGGCTGTGGCCCCTGCTCTTTGAGGTGGAGTTAGCAGTGGGCCCCTGGGCCCTGGGGAGGTGGGATGGGAAGGGTGGGGCAGGTGAAGGTACCTTGTACAGTGAGTTGGATCAAGCCCCGGTCCTCCCCATACGAGTTGATGGCATGGCAGCTGAAGAACACAGAGTCCCCACGGTCAGCGGGCTTGAGCTGGGAGACCACCAGCAGGGGAAGGAGAGGGAGGAAACAGGGAGAGTCTTTTAGAGCTGGTCAGCTGAAGGGGCCACTCCAGGGCTATCAGCAAGGCCCTCTTGTTCTGGGAGGGGGACCCACAGGGGCTTTGCAAAGGTCTTCTCTTCCCAGGAACTTCCAAAGATGGAAGTATGGAGGGCTTCATACAGGGAGGAGACACCAGAGGGAAGGAGGGAGGGGCTGAGGAATCCTAGGGGAGTGGGAGGGGCTGAGGGGTCCCAAAAGGGAGAATGGAGCCCCGAGGGTTCCAGAAAAGAAGGCGAGACTGAGGAAACCACATTTGATTGCTGTGGGGTTGTCAGAAAGGAGATACAGTGAAGTTCTGAGACAGAGATTCCTGGATGGAGAGGGGAAATAAGTGGGAAAGGGGAGGTACATTTTTGGGATGTGGGGAGGGGCTCCCAGGCTCCCCATTTGCCTCTCGAATGCAGATGTGATAGTTGTGGGCTCCCCACTCTCTGAGAGTCGGGGTCCCCCAGGACTGGGGTGGGGCACTCACCTTCAGCGTGGAGACGACCTCATCACCATTGTCTTTGGTGGCGATGGCGTACCGCATGACACGGTCAGGGTCGATGACTGTGTCCCCCTTCTCCCAGCGGATGATGATGGGCCGCTCACCCCGTGCTGTGCAGTTCAGCTCCTTCGCATGGCCCTTGATGGCGATGGTGGTGTTGGGGTGGGAAGTAATCATGGCCGGGACTGGGGGGCGGAGGTGGAGGAGGCCCCGTGAGGGTTGTGAGGTCAGCCTGGAGGAGGCATGCGTGCCCTGCACAGAAGCCCCCACCCCAGCCGTCCCTCCCCCAGGAGAGGCTCCAATAAAGGAGTACAGGGAACTCCACTGGCCTGTCCCTTCTCCCACACCCATCCATGACTGGGACAGCCTCCCTCTTCACCAGGGGTCCCCACATTCCTCCTCTGGGGAGGCAGTGGACCGGGCTCAGAATGCTTTTACAGGTATGCCATACATAGAACTATAAAGGAAACCAGTTATATTGAAATATGGTTATGCAAATATTAAAAACACGAACAAGCAAACCTTCGATATTGTATATCACATATCAGTATGTGTTCTTTACTACTCTTTACAAAATAAGATCCAGCGGTAGCTCGTATAATTGCTGTCTTATATTACCATGATCCTGTAATAGTGCTGCGTATAAGTGATATTTTGAGATATCTGCAATCACTGTGATGTGATGGGAACATATCTGAGGATTTCTGCTGGTGACAGTCACAGGGGCTGCTCTTGCTGCGCTTTGTCGCTTATGTTCAAAATGGAAGGAAATACGAAATTTCAGTGAGAAGTTAATGAAAAAATGTGGTTTTCTCTCCACCCACATTCATGGGTCCCCCTGAATCAGATCTACAGAGCTTCTAGCGGCCTCTGGACCCCAGGTTAGGAAGCCTTCTTGAAAACACCAGGACTGCTTTTTCTCTATGGCTAAGGCTTGTTCATCTCCCTCCTGTTCTTTCAAACAAGATACAAAGGAAAACCCTGGACACCACTACAATAAACATCCACAAGCAGTGCTAACAGGACTGAGAAAATCACCAGCAAACAACCAGGGCCCAGGCTGGTCATCAGGAACCCGCCCCCCCCACCCCTGTCCCTACTGCCCAGACAAGAAGCCTGTCAATCACTGGCCCCTCCTCTGGGCCTGAGCACGTGTGGCAGCAGCAGCAGGAGGGGAGGGGCAGGGGAAAGACGGTCTCAGCTGCAGCAAAACCCTGTCCCCTTTCTTCTCCACCCAACTCAACGAACACACATGGGGCACTTATGCCATCATGAGGCCTCGTGCCAGGCTGGGGGGTACACATGACAATGAGACAGGGTCCTCGCCTCCGGAGGGAGGGGAAGACAGATACCTGCACCGACAACATGAACTGGAGGAAAATCTGATGAGTGTGTCATCCAAGGGTTAGGAGACATTAACTTTGACTGAGGGGCATCAGGGAAAGCACAGTCCATCCATTCAGCAAGGATTTATTAAGACCTACTACGTGCCAGGTCTTGTCTTGGGTTCTGGAGCTGACAGTAAATAGGACAAACATGGTGTGATCTCATGTTTGAAACTCCTATGATCTCAGGGAGTTTCACTCTAGTGGTGAGAACAGACAAGACTAGCAATTTCAGTGAAGAGTGGTGAGTCCTATGCTGGGAGAAATGCACAGCCCCTGACCCGGCAAGACTTAAATGGGGAGAACAGAGGGAAGGGCGCCCAGGCAGGGGAATGTGCTTGAGCCAAGGCTCCAAGGCAGACATAGGCGGGGCATGTCCCAGGAAGGTCAGTGATTTGGTGCTGCTGGAGACTATCCTCGTCCTTTTCTTCTTTGAGAAAATTTGCCTTCCAGTGGCTCTTGTCTCAGGAGGGGTGCCCAGGAACCATCCTGGAGTATACAAATGGGGAGGGGCTGTCATTGGCTGCAAGAATCAGAAACCCCCCACCCCCACCCCCATTCAGGGGAATACCTCTTGTCACAACAGAGACTAGCTCACCCTATCCTGGTCACTGGCCTGCTTTGGGCAATCGTGCAAAAACGGGCTTTGTCTTATCTGTCCTCAAAACCCAGTTCCCTGCCCACCCCCTTCGCCCTGTCTCCCCACCGCCCCCGCACTGTGTCTCTGCTCCATTTCGACAGCTGGCCCTTTCTCCTCCTTCCTTCCGGGTATTCTCAGGGTTTCTCTCTCCCCCCGTTTTAAAGGCCTGCTCAGACAACGTTCTTCCCAGCAAACTCTCCAGGGACATCTGACTTTTATGGACAAATAGGCCTTTGAAGAAATGAGGGGAGCCACAGAGCTGCCGTGGTGCCATCTGACACCAGTCCGTGGGCGAGGAGATGTCTGGGACAGGAGCAGGGGGGATGAAGGGAGGTTTCTGGCTCCCTGAAGTCACACCACACAGCAAGCCACCTCCTCTGCTGCCTTGTCATGCGGGACTTGATGCTGACGACAGCCCTGGCCCCCAGGCCCCCGCACCAGCCTTTCAGCACATTCCCCGGCCCCAGCTCATCAAATAATGAAGCAGATAAATTTTATAATGCACGGCATTACACTAGGATATACCATAAAATGCGACAGACAAATAACGAGGTGCAAGTTATAATGAAGAAAAAGCCTGCAGTCAGAGACATCCGAGTATGAATTATTGACTAAGGTTTTACACTCTCAAGGATGTGCGGAGGAATATTTTTCCATCAAAGATTTGCATAATTCACTCGTATAAACCTGGGTGGAATATAGAGTAAGATTTTACATCAACAAGTCGGGCCTTGCATTGCAGATGCCTCCATTTTTACTGGAGGATTGAGGTGCTTGGGTGTTGGGGAGGCTC